TATATTTAAGATACTTTCCCACCATTTTTTAAGTTTTTACCTGAATCTAGTCCAGCTTTCCATAAAATATGTTCTGCATACAGACTGAACAGATAAGAAGATTACAAAAAAAATATTCTGTTTCTCCATATTCTGTCATAACAGTAGATTATATTCCAGAGTATAAATCATACATCAGGATATGTTGAGACATATAATTTCTTTTAGAACAATCCATACATCTAGTATCCAATGTATATTCCCAATATAATCCCTATGTCTCTTCCTTTTCAAAATCCAGTTTGAACATTAGCCATTTCTTGCTCCATATATAGAAAATTTCTTGCAAAACCTTCAGCACCATTTTGCTTGCATGGGAAATCAGTTCAGTTGTCATATAGTTACTGTTCTTTTTGGCATCTTTTTTTAAAATTTGAATGTACATTGAACAATTCAAGTCTGTGGGCCACTGGATTACTGGCATATTATTATTAGGATATTGATAGATTTCATCTCTCTAGCTTGGAATATCTCATTTATTCTGAGTGAGTTATTTTTGCCAAGTGTTTTGAGAGTGGCTTTTACCTTGCTTTCTAAAATTACAAATTCCTCATCACATGATTACTCTTCAAAGGAATCTTTGCATCTATTCCATATATGTATTATTGCTTCCGTCTTATCTTTATTTTATCCCTGTCAGATAATATGTTTCCTTGTTGATATTTTAGCATCCCTTTTCTACAATTAAACTCCCCTTTGTTTTTTTCTAAATAGAAAATGTCTTGCATTTTTCCTGTTTTGCTGTCCTCTTCTGTTTCTTTTCACTAATTATTGTAATAGAAATCTTTGTTTCTTCATGCTGAAAGGTGGCATCTAGGATTCTGACCCTATCTCTGTCTCTTTTTACTTTTGCTTTTCAATTTAAAAAGGTTAATCAGTCATCCACCTAGGTTTTCTTTTCTATTGTCTAATGGAATGTCTTTTTTGTATTCTCCCTGTATATCATTTCCAATTTCAATCCACATTTCTTCTGGTCAGTCAATTGAATTAATAATACAAAAATGTTCCTTAAATGAACTTGAAATTAATCAGAAATGTTATTTAACTCATGTTTTAGTGTTCTTTTTCAGCTTGTCTCTAAATTTTGATATTAATCATTTATGGCGAGTACCATAGTCCGCTTCTAGTCTTGTTCAAACATACAGAACACAGCTGCTCCATTTACTCCTTTCAGTTATATAGTCCATTTGATTTCTGTATTGGCCATCTCGTGATGTCCATGTGTATAGTTGATAATAATAATAATAATCAGAACACAGCTGCTCCATTTACTCCTTTCAGTTATATAGTCCATTTGATTTCTGTATTGGCCATCTCGTGATGTCCATGTGTACAACTGATCTTCAGTTGCCTGAAGCATTTAGTTACAATAAACAGGTTGCTGGCTTCACAAAATTCTGTGAGTCATTCTCCTGCTCCATTTCTCCAAGGGCAATTTTTCCAAGGACCTTTGGTTCTGCTTTGTCTCCTATCATTGTTTTCCACTCATCTATGATCAGCAAATCCTGTTTTGCTATGTAATAAATTTCCTCCTAGACAGTTTCATAAAAGCTCTTGATTTCTTATAATTCAGCATTTGTGGTGGAAGCATAAATCAAAATGATGGTTATCTTGAGAGTTTTTTTCCAAGAATTCTTACTGATACTATTAATTCAGACATTGCATTATAGTCTCTAATCACTTGTGCCACATCTTTCCTCAGTATTAGAGCCACACACATTTTATCATTGCCAGAGCAAAATATTTTGTAATTTTTTGGCTGACCATGTCCTATTTCCAGTCCAGTGTGTGTGTGTGTGTGTGTGTGTGTGTGTGTGTGTGTGTGTGTGTGTGTGTGTGTGTGTGTGAGAGAGAGAGAGAGAGAGAGAGA